TAATAAATAAAGAATTATAGTATTTCTTAAATACTGCATATAATACTTGCAGCTGCATTTGGTTTAATAATATAATAGTGTATTATTAACTAACAATACACACAAAAATATAAATATCTATACACAATCATCAAACAGTAATATTTACACCGAAGAGGTACTTAACAAGTAAGATAAGTATAATTTATTAACTATTATTATTTTATCTTATATCGTGTGCAGTTGATTTTCCGGACACAGGTGTACTTTGACGGGCACGCCTTCGAAACCGGTCGATCCCGTGTCAGTCACTCGGAACACAGCACCCGAATACGGACGTTTGGCCTTTTGCGCTTCGGTCAACTGGTAACCGGCCGTCGTCACRTACAGCTCGTCCAATTTCGGTCCGCCGAACGCGGCCGAGGTGACCTGATAGGCGGGCAATTGGACGGTTGTCAACAGCGTGCCGGTGTTGGGGTCGATTTTCAAGATCTAAACACCATAATTCATAATAAAATTGTTAGCACGAGAAACATTACGATTCAAATTAAAATTGTTGGCAAACGTGCGCGGCCGAGTGGACGACACTCACGTGATTGCTGTTAAAGCACGCCACCCAGAGGTTGCCGTTTTTGTCGATGGTCATGCCGTCTGGATCGCCGGCGACTTTGTTGGCTTTCAAGTCGAAAATCACTTTTCCGTTGGCTGCACGTCAGCGATCGAAATCGTTCCGTAAAAACAATAACATAAATCACGCACGTGTTAATATTGCGATGCATGCATATGATATTAAAAACTATTTGGGTGACGAGGGGCGAGGCACTCACTTAAGTCTCCGGTGGTGATGTCGAAATCGTACGCCTCGACCGCAAACTTGTAAGTGTCCACGTAATAGAACACTTTGTTGTCCAAACTCCACGCCATCCCGTTAGAGATGCTCACGTTGGATATGCGCTTGTTGATAGTGCCATCGGGTTCCACCGAATAGAGGGAACCGCGGCGTTTGTAATAGTGGCCCGGGTTGTCTGCCATCTCCGAACCCATAGACCCTAAATTACCGAGGGTGCAGATAAATGACCACGTCAAGTTATATCGGACTGCTGTTTGTGAAATATAAACGGCGGCGCTGCGTATGCGGTTATTAGACGCAAAATATAATTATGATTTTGAACGTTTTTAAGTGTTTCCACGGCAGTTTTAAAACAGTAAAAATTAAGACTTGTAAAAAATACATCTTCGGCTATATAGGCACATTATATCAAAAAGATTTCTCCGACCCC